GGTTTTGGGTTTAGGATTGAGGGTTTGGGGTTTAGGGTCTAGGGTTTAGGGTTTCTTGAAACCCTAAGCGCAGGCTCCACCCATGCTAAACATTGAAAGCCGAGCCCTGAACTCAAAAGTCCCAGACCGAATATCGGGGCCTTGATACTTAGAATATTGCGTTTTTGGAGCATATTATACTATTATAATGATAAGGAACCCGCCCAAAATAGTGCTGGTAACAATTTAGGCCCCTATGTTCGGCCCTTGTGTTGGCGGCTTGCAGAAACGAGTGTGCCGTGCACCGGATCATGCTACTGGGTCCCTGAACCCTAAACGCTACAGTAAATGCCGTATGGTCAGGTCACTCCACTCGCTCCGCGAAGAGCTCGACGCTGTTCTCTGGGAAGCCGAAGCGCTTTTGCACCTCCAGGGCTTCTGGGTTTCGGGTTCCGGGCCCTACCTCAACCACCAGAAGCTTAACCTTTTAGGATTCCTTACTTGTCGCTCCTTATGTATGTCTGCAGAAAGGCAGCTTTCGGAGGCAGGAAAGGCAGAGATCATCAACTCTCAATCCGAAATCAGGATTTAGGGCTTAGGGTTAGGGCCGGTTAGGGTTCAGGGATTGGGTTTGGGTATTAATGCTTTCCGTGGTCTTTCCATGTTCTCGGCCTTGTTTCGTCTGCAGAGCATTACTAGCGCTTCAGGAGCTGCCCGGGGGGACATGTGGATAAGTCCCACCCTAAGCCCTAAACCCTAAACCCTAAACCCTAAGCCCTAAACCCTAAACCCTAAACCCTAAACCGGACGGAGCCGACCTCCAAAGGAATCCTTCGATGCTTCATCCCACTTTTCTCAGCCAAAACTGAACCCAGCATCTCGAAGCCCGCCAAAGTCCGAAGAAAGAGCCCTGGCAGCCCTAAGAGCCCGAACCCTAAACCCCGACATCCCTAAGCCCCAAACCCCCAGCGCAGGCCCAAAACCTCCCGAGCTTTATAGAACCCACACAGACAATCCTATAACACAAAGCCTTTTAGAAGACCTTAAACCCCGATTCGAACCCTTTCTCCCTAAAGCTACACACCAAAACTCTACAAGCCAAAAGCCTAAACCTTTAGCTCCAAAATTCTTACAAAACCCCAAAACCCTGAACCTTAAATCGTAAAACATTAAAACCCCAAAACCCTGAACCTTAAATCCTACAACCCTGAAACCCCAAAACTCTTAAAAGCCCAAAACCCCGAACCTTAAATCCTAAACCCTGAAAACCCCCCAACCCCAAACACAAATCCAAAACCTAAAACCTTCAAAACCCCCAAATCCAAAACCTAAAACCCTAAAAAAAACCTAAACTCAAAAACACAAAAGAACGCCCAGGGCCACCAGGGCCGTGAGCTCCCGAATGCGTCGGCCCTTCTCGCCCAGAACTTCCCGGGTCCTAGGGTCTAGGGTCGTTTTGGGGTGTTTAGGGTTTAGGGTGTAGAGTTTTAGGGTTTAGGGTTAAGGGTTAGGGGTTTTAGGGTTAGGGGTTTCAGGGTTTAGGGTTTTAGGGTTTTAGGGTTTAGGGTTTAGGGTTGTGTTGATGGCCTTGAGGATGTATAGGCCTTATATAGGGTTTATAGGGTTCTAGACTCTGCCAATTTAAGGCTTTTTGGGTTTAGGGTGTAGGGCTTCGAGGGTTTATATAATATGCCAATTTGAGGTTTCGCGTTCAGGGTGTAGGGCTTATAGCGTTTGTAGAGTTTAGGGCCTAGGGTGACCACGCCAGTTTCTGTTGCCCGAGTGTATAGTTTGGGCTGACTGTGCCAGTTTAGGGCCTACGCCACCACAAGTCGAAGAAGCCAGATGAGACTTGAGCTTTGGGCTTAGGAGTTGAGAGGCTGTTTTCGAGGTGCTCAAGAACTCTAGGAGCCCAAGGCTAAGTCCTAAACCCTAAAGCCATATGGGACTTTCCGAAAATTAGGGGTACCTTATTTTGGGGTCCTTATGATAAGGATCCTATTATTAAGGGTACTATACTAGGGCCCTCTATTTTCGGAAACCCCCATATTAGTGATAAGTCAGTATCAAGATGCAGGTTTACGATCCGCGGGGCAGTTGAGTTCAGGGTGTTTGGAAGCGCGCGGCTTGATGGGAACGAGTTCACGGAACTTCAGGCAATGGGGGAGCGTTTGAGACTCCGGGGTGTATCGGGGTGTAAGACGCGTAGGCCCTCATCATTACGAGCAATAGGGTCTTGGGTACAGTACAGCACAGTTATAATCAGGAGCCCTAGGGACTAATATTGCTGATTGTGTAGGCGTCCATCATTACGGCCTACTGCTTTGACTGTTTGGCATTCGGGAGTGCTGGGCCTCGTGCCTACACCCTAAGCCGACAGAAGGTTCGAGCCGGTCCTGGTGGCACGGATGATGATCTCCGTGCGGATCGGCGTCACACGGACCTGTGTTTCAGAGGGGTGAACCCTAAACCCTAAACCCTAAACCCTAAACCCGTGAGCTCCAAAAAGCGGCAGAACCAGGAGACCTAAACCCCCAGCAAGGCATCTTCTGTTGGAAATTCGGTGAAAGCCGTTCCGCCAAAAGTTGGAACCAAGACACGGAACCTGGGATTTAGGCCAAGTTCTCTAGGATTTAAAGCACCTAAACCCCGAACCGATCTTGCGGACGAAAGGAGACGGCCCACGAGGTTGTAGCATCTCAGTGGCATTGGAGGCGGATATGTCTCACTGCTGGACCTAGCCATGAGTAATGGCACCGTCACACCTGCTTTTCGAGAATCCGCGAGCCTCAAGAATGACGAAGGATTGGATTCGCCAAACCGTGTTTGAGGAGCTTGCATGCAGTTAATGGATCTATTCACAACGCGACCGTCCTGCGCTCACCTGGGTTGCGTCCTACAGCGTGTGCATTGCCAATTTGGTACGTAGGCTATCAGGGATCCGAGTGATATTCATCTGTGTAAGATTGATATTCATCTGTGTAGGATCCGTGCTACGTGTAGTGTTCCGGTTAACGGCCTATGCTAGAGCCCCCAAACGTCAGACCCTGGCCGCAGATCCAACACCCAGGTCCCTACCCTTCAACCCGGGCACTCCTATCCAGCGCTGGCCGAGGATCCCTTGAAATGTGAAGGAATAAGATATTCCTCTAACCCCAACCCAAAAATCCTAGACGCAAGGATTAGCGAGTCTCCGGGAATCCTTCCATGAACTGCCGCCCACCTCCACGCCAGCGTAACCATCCTCGCCTGGGTGCAAACAGCGAAGTGATAGGCTGAGCTGGGGGTTTCGTAATATAAGGGTCTTAAGAATTAGAACAGGGGTTTGGGATGTATGATAGTAGAAATAAATGCATTATACGGGGACTATAAGAAGGCGATGCTACTAATAATTATTCTGACCCATCTTTATGGCTGTCGGACTGGAGGAGGGCATCAAGATTGAGTTTTCATCAATCCGAGTCTAGTCCGGGCTGTATCATGCAATTTAGGGTTCAAAAGAATTTAGGGTTTATAGGGTTCAAAGGTTTGGGGGTTGAGCACTTTAATCCTTGATTTAAATCTGGGGTCCACTTCCCTGGGGTCTAATTCCGTGGAGAGTGATGAATACTGGCGAGTTTGTCTGTTAACATCTTTATTCGTATTTCAATATCTGTACTTATGTTTATTGGATCTTGATTCATCTGTATTTGTTTGTATTCTTTCGTCTTTAGATTTTGTTCGTTGGTGCCAGTGTGTGTGTGTGTGTCTCTGCATGGGGCCAGGTGGAAACCTCGAGGCGGGCCAAGTGCCGGTGTGTGTCGATTAGGGGGACCCTTCGGGATATAGGCCCTCTCAATACGGTCCTGGGTCGTCCCTAAATCCGCAACCTGACCCTTAAACTTTGCAAATCTGGATCTTTTGCTTCCAGGACTCTTGCAAGCAGCCGGCAAATCTGGATCTAAAGCCCGAAACCCTAAACCCTACATCGGGTGGTAACTTAAGCCTCCCTTAATTCAAGCTTTGGGATACGCCCGAAAAGCAAGACTTCGGGCTGCGGGCTGAGAAAGCCCACCCGTGGAAGAAGACAAAGAGCCAAGAGAGGTATGGTTTCAGGTTTCGGGCTGATAGGACTTCTGTTTTGGACGTTTCGGATTTAAGAATAGGAGTTTAGGGTTTAGGGCGGTTTAGGGGTTTTGGGGGAGGCCAGTGATGCCTTGCATGCTGCTGACGAGCCCACAACCCTGTGCCCAAGATGCAAGCCACGCTTGCTGCATGATCTTGGATAACCTTTCTTCAGTGCCCATTGGAGAAGCCTGATAAACTAGCTACCCACTGGAAAACTGTTTTTTCTAGCTCCCTCCTTGCAACCACTCTATGGTTGCAGTGTCATGTCAAAATGAGCCCTAGTCTAAGCATTCGGGCTCGTATACCGCACCCCCGAACAGCTGAAGCCTTGCCGATGTCGCGTGACCGAGAGTTCGTGCCAGGAACTCGTTCAGCTCGGCATTGAAGACACCGTCAGCCACGAACTTCCTCTTCTTGGACACCTTCAGGGTTAGGGTAATTGTTTACTGGACTCTTGCAGTTTGTGAGAAAAAATCGTAGAGTTTTCGTGAAGTGTTGTCTTCATCCAGATAGCTGAGGGTGGGACAACGAACATGGTTTGCGGCTATTAGCATCAACACCCGGATCACCAGCAACAACTGCATCATGGTTTCCATCCTCCTCAGTCTCCTCCTCCTCTTCACTATCACTATCATATTTGTCCTCGTGCCGTTCTGCAGTCTCAGACTCACCGAGCCTGCGCGCTGCTCATGATGGCAAGACGGTGGAATCCGGAACGGCGGCGGGGGGCAAAACTTCTGCGGACTCTTTGAGCCTCATGCGATGGGGAAGTCGAGCTTGAAGACTGCATGAAGTCGGGGCTACAAATTGGAAGCCATGCCAAGAAGTTTGACCTACTGAGCCCTGGATTACACCGCTAGCACCATCCGGGTCATACTCGTATGCACAAGCATAAACAAGGGGCATAAGACTGTACGTAAACAGATAGATCATTACACATACACACGTACACGAACATACGCATAGTTGCATACATCTGAAACGAATATGTGCATACATATCCCCGCACGGGCTAGGCAAGCGTGGCCGGACCCCTTGTAGGCATCCCTAAGTTAAGCCTGTCCGCCGTTGGGGCGTCGGATTCCAGATTCGAGATCAAAAAGCTCTGGAAATAATTAAACCCTAATCAGACGTTCGTGTTCTAGGTTCTAGAGTCAGAGGCAAAGGTGACGACTCTACTCTCTACACTTTCGCACTTCTGACAGGTGTGGGCAGCAAACAGTAGCGCAAACTTCTCGTGCGGCAAATATGCTCTTTAACAAACGATCAGCACAAGGACACCAAACACACCCAGAGACATACACATACACACACACACACAGACACACACACACACACACACTCATTCACTCACTCACTGACTCACTCACTCACTCACTCACTCACTCACTCAAACCGTGATGTCTTCCTAATGCGGCCAAGCTTGGCATCAAGGAGGACCTTGCCAGCAGGCTTCCACCAACTCACAGATGTAACGAACATGTAAGTGATCCGAACCTTGAACCCGACACACCCCGAGCCCTGTGTCGAGGAAGGGCTGCAATGCATATGCCCAGACTTGAAACCCGATTCCCCCAGTCCAACGACCAGGCTATCCAACCCGGTGAGGTGTATTAGTCGGGAGGCTTGCTCTGCGAAGCATTCAGGGTGAGCCCACTTTTGTTCCGATGTCGCCGCAGAACCACCGCCAGAAGCTACGGCAGCTAGTTACGCATAACAGATCGTTTCGGTTCTAACCAAGGGCCTTAATTCAAGGAGGAAGTCATACCATTTACCATACGTCTCTATTCGGGTGATTTAAACTAACTTCCAAAACAAGAATCCCGTAACCCCAAACCTAAACCTGAAACCCCTGCCCCTAGACCCAAAACCCTATCCCGAACCCTATTATAAAACCCTAAACCCAACTGGACCCCAAATACCCCAAAGCCCTACACCTTGATGAACCCCCAAATTACTCCAAACCCAAAACACGAAAAAACCCTAAAGCAAAGTTAAACCCCTAATTACTCCAAACCCAAAACCCCAAACCCATAACCCTAGTTAAACCCCCAAATACTCCAAACCCAAAACCCAAAACCATAACCCTAGTTAAACCCCCAAATACTCCAAACCCAAAACCCAAAACCCTCGTAGTAGTAGTAGTAGTAGTAGTAGTAGTAGTAGTAGGCGCCCATAGCCGGCTCAGAAGGTCAAAGCGGCCTGAGAGCGCCAGAGGCCGCTGCGTCAACGGGGCTTAGGCCCTAGAGGTGCTCAGGGATTCTCCGGATTCGTATATGTATGCATGTATGTATGTATGTATGTATGTATGTAAGTATGTATGTAAGTACGTAAGTGTGTATATGTATATATGTATGTACGTACGTACGTAGATCTACATACAAATAAATCAACATATGTGTAAGTGAAGCATGCGTGCATGGATGTATGCAGGTCACACGGTTCAGGGTTTAGGGCCAAGTTTAGGGTCTTAGAAGCACTCGGGTAGCCACAGGTGGCCAAGTTTCTCATGCTCGTTTAGAAAAGCCAAGATGGTGTTACATGACGACCTGTCTTCGAGACTTCCCTGTATCCCAGCGAAACTTCACTCAGGCCTCCACCATCTTAGATCATGTATGGTGAGTTGTAGATTATACGATTTAGGGCACATCTAGGCCAAAACCTCAAAATGCGGCTAGGCTGAACCCAAGCCTTCTAACCTTGCTTTTTTAAGGTTTGAAGGTTCAGGTTTTGACCTGCTTACATCTTCGTTTGGGTTTGGTGCTTTGCATTTAATTAACGGTTCAAAACTGTTTAGATTTCAGTAAGGGTTTGTGCTCAACTTCAGGGTCTAGGGCTCCATATAGAAGTCCGGGGTTCATTGAGGGTTCGGGCCTTAGGCAACTCTCTCCGAACCTTTCACGCTGTACCTGCGCTGCTCGGGACATGTCTGGCTCTTTCGAGCGTCTTGGCTCCCACGGTTTGTTTGCATGGGGTGAAAGAACCGGCCGCGATGCCGCACATAGGCGCTCTCAAGCCTTCCTCGGCCAGGAGGCTCGGCCATCGTCCTCTTTGGGGTCGCCAAAATGGGCCATGATTGAGAATCTAGGCCACAAGCTCGGCGCCAAACCTCCATCTTCTAAGCCTAAACCGTAAACGCCAAAAAGCTCTAGACTGCACGCCCCAGGAACAATGGTCTTCTGAGCAGTCCCATGCCCTTTGCGCTGCCGCTCTCCAGCTTTTGGGTCAGGGGCGGGGGTTCAGGGTTCTTAAAGCTCCTATAGGGGTAGGCTTACCAGAATTATAGGGATTCTACGGTGTGGCACACTGCTTGGGGGGTTTGGGGTTCAGATTCGCCAAGACCCTGACTAACAGTGGTTTAGGGGCTGCGTCTGCGAGTTAACAAGATCGGTTTGTCTCGGCATGTGAACTAAATTAGGGACGGCGTTTCGACAACTTCGGCTTTCTGTTTGGGGTGGTGCCGCTGGCAAGCAAAACTGCTAGAGCACGGCAGCAAGCTTGGACGGAGCCCTTTAAACCTCTGCCGGGCCCGTGAAAAATTTTTGCTAAAGCGACAGATCCCCTACCGACCTCGTCGGAGCTTTTGCATTTACTTGGGAGTTTCAGAAAAATAGGGGACCCTAGTATAGGACCCTTAAAAGTAGGATCCTTATAATGAGAACCCCTAGAGACGGTATCCTAGTTTTCTGAAACTACCATTTCAGAGGAGGACCCTTCCTGACCGACTCTTCGATCATTTAGACTCCACATCCACCACCTGACAGCTGGTACCCAAAAAAGCCCATGCGAGCTCCAATCTTGTAGGGTTTAGGGGCTGGGGGAGATAAGGTTCAGAGTTTAGAGTTTAGGTTTGCACTGCTGAACCGTTAGAGCAACAGATGATGCTCTCCGCACACTCAAAGCTCCGGCCGGCTGCACAATCAGGTCCGTGCAATCACGCAGGGCTGCCATCCGTGGATGGTTTAAGGCTGAGGGGTGTAGGGTGTAGGGTTTTTCAGGATGAAAGGCATGTAGGGCGGGACCACCGCCAAGTTCACAAATAATACCAGGCTGCGCAAGCCTTGCATGCAGGACGGACTTATCCGGCGCCCAAAAGGCACAAGCCGCGAAAAGCCACAACCCTCTAAACCCTAAAACTATGAGCGACGCTCTTCAGATCATGATCCGAGGCGCCAGGAAAGCGTGAGGTGCCTTGCTTGGAGGTTCATGGGTAGTTATAAGTGGGGTTATAAGCACGGCTACTACATGTACAACCCATACTAGTTATGGGACTTATCTGGGAGGAAAGCACCAAAGTCACTGCTGGCCCGTCTTTTGGACATTCCCTTGTACCATTCCCTCTATCGTGTGCCTAAATCCCAGGCTTCTCTGATACGTGGGGTCCTAGCCCCTACAACCTCGGTGAAAAACCATACAGCCCCCGAGAAGGGATCGATTCTTGGCTGGGTTTGGGTTCACGTTCAGGATGTCCGGCTCCTGCCAAAAGACCAGCTTGCATCGTCGTAGGAGGATTTGGGGAGACATGAATGAAGGCAGTAATGAGTAGACGTATGCAAACAAACATATGTATACACATATATGTATACACATTTAGTAGTTTGCTCATCTATCTTTGTTTGTTTGTCTATTTGTTTGTTTTATACAAAGACATTTAAGTTTATATGGGCATTTGCATTTGTATTTGCATGTATGTTCATATTTATATAAGTATCTTTTGGCATATATATATATATACATATATACACACCATGTGTGCGTGGTGACTTTGTGCCAAGAGATTAATCAAAGAGGACGTTGATAAAGTACGGTGTCTATCAGCCCGTAAACCCCAATTCTTCACAGGTTGTATCAATGGGCACAACCCACAAGCGCTGAAGCAGGTGCAGACCGGCAAGCCTACGACCTGACGAGCCCTTGAGATCTAAATTCCCAACATAGGGTTTCGGATTCACAACGGTGCCCCGGATCAAAACCCGATCCCCCGTGAACACCATTCCGGCAGCCCAAAAGGATGACATCCATGGTTTAGCGTTTAGGGTTTAGGGTATGCCGAAGCCGAAGCCCTGCTCTCCAAGTTGTGCTGTGTGAGTTCAAGAGCAGTTACACAGCTACACATACGCTCCATTGCAGTTCCTTTTTGGGGTTACCTTGTTGGATCCGAAATATAAGACTGGTTAAACCGAAGAAAGGGAACTACAATGGAGACCCTAGGTATGGCCTAAAGGAGCAGAACGATTGCGTGGATTTGGGTGCAGGGCTTCCGGGTTGGAGGTTCAGGGCTGCTGTTGTTTGGGCTTTCTGAGGACCCGGCCCCTGACAAAAAGCAGGGACCATGAATGCAGACCCGCAAGAGTAGGATGTTTATCTACCCCTAAATAAGCCCCCCCCCCCCGCTCATACTGCAGTAATATAGGAGCCTTAATAATTAGAATAGGGTCTTGGGGTATATTATACTATCGCTATAGAAAAAGGAACCCCCCAAATAGTATGGGTAATTATTGAAGCTCCTAAAATACCCTCTTTGCATCCAGGCCTCCTGAGTCCTGAAGGTGTTGCCGGGTAATGTCTGGTACCACGTCTAATGTAGGAGGCTTAATATTTCGTCTGGGGCTGCTTTATAGTATAATCTTCATAAGGACGCCTAAGGAAAATCGGAATAGTATTGGTAATTATTTAGGCTTCTATATTTAAGCCCAAAGCCGGGTGGCGATGACCAAGTCCGATGCGCCGTGGACCATTGGCCCGTCGTGTCGC